CTTTGAAACGGTTGAGATCCCCACCCCAAAACCATATATACAAATGCTTGGCAAAAAGAGACAAATGCAGTCAAGATATTAGAATCGATCCTGGGGTCTGGACACAACTCTAGGGACCTAGTTTCTGAGGTAAAGCTTGGAAACAGTTGAGATCCCCACCCCATAACCATACATAAAATTGCTGGGCATGAAAAATCTAATATAGCTATGCTACAAGGATTGGCCTTGGGGTCTGGCATATTCCCTTGATCTCATATGGAGAATAGTTTGCCATGATTGCTAAGGTATCCAAGTGAGCGATACAGGCCCTCTGGGCCTCTTGTTATGAAAAGATTCTTGTTACACAACCAATAAGTGTTTCTATGTGACGTTTCAAAGACTAGTACAGAATATACTCTGTCACATTCATCAGACAAATGGTCAAATTACTTTTCATAATCCATACTCACCAACCTGAAAAAAATGTTTAGAGAAAAAAAAACCCAGACTTTATGATAATAGGTCGTTGGTAGGCATTAATTAATCCAAGATTGTTCCTGGGTTCTTATTGCCATTAACAGAAAAACTGTTCTTTTTATAGTTTTTGTACCTTTGATAAGTAAATGTTCCTTTCTGTTGCTTAAGAGCCTTGTCTACAATCTTATTTTGTGTTTTCCAGATCCTGCTGTGTGATAAATGTGATGCGGGATACCACACGGCCTGTCTGCGCCCACCACTGATGATCATACCGGAGGGCGAGTGGTTCTGTCCGCCCTGTGAACATGTACGTAAACATAAAATGCCAACTAAGATGTTGATTCTATATTCTTCTAAAATGGCTGAGAATTTTTTCTTAGAATCGGAATTAATGATGCTTTCTTTGTGACAACTTGACACGTACAGCATCTTCAAACCATCTTTTCCTAAATAAATATCAATATTTTTATAATCATAAATACATATAAGTACACTGAAAATTTCATTTTACAGAGAATGCTGGTAGAACGCCTGCTTGCTAACCTCAAAGAACTTGACATTTCACTGAAGAAAAAGGACAGACTAACCAAAAGGTGACTTGAATCATTTACGTGGACCAATCTCTTTATTAATATGTTACAAAACTGATACAGACATAGACACGAAGATTTAAACTTTTGTGGTCAATTAATTGCTTTGATCTGGAAATCCTTTAAGTACATAACTTATTGCAAAGTGTAAATTGATCTTGATAATTTTTTAACATATTTATTCATTTTTTGTAGAAAATTCTTATTTCCCATTCCTGAAAAAGGTTAATGTTTACAAAAAAAAATCCCTTGATAGCTACAGCTGTAGAATGCAATGGATATTGATTCTGACAGAAATTTGCAGTCTTTGAGTTGCATCTTTTTTTCAGAAACATAATGTTCTAAAATTTAAGAAAGGGAGAAGTTTTTCCTCTACTTTTTGTTTTAGCTTTGAAGTATTTTATATTGGGTTTCCATTAAGAGATATTTTTGTCTTTTATAGGAAGGAGAGGTTGGCCTTTGTTGGAATTAGTCTGGACAACATCCTTAATGAGGTAAAATATTTTCTGACCTGTGAAGGTTATAACAATAAAATATATGTTAATATAGCTGATGAAGGAACCTCTATGTTGTTGACATAGTCTTGTTCAGAATGTGTAATTCCAAGTTTAATAGTTCTGTATACCAACAAAATAATGGCCTTTCAAGTGTTCTCCTTTACTGGTAAAATTAATATTCACAAAAGTTGATTTCACCCCTTTCGTGTCAGCGCTGTATATGGTATGCTGTGTACCTATCTTTGCTCTGTCCTCGTCATAGAGGGCAAAGTAGTTAAACTTATGATAAATGGATACACTATTTGTTGTCAGGGTCTAAAAGGTTTGATATTTAATTAATATATGGTATTTTTTGTGTGTTTGTCCTCATAACAGAACTAAAAAAGTCAAACTCCAGTGAAAATTCCCAGCATTCAGTATGTTAATTATTGTTTTCTTGAAATGAAAGCAGTCATTTGATTAAAAACGTGAACTGGAGTTATTTCCCTCTGATTGTTCACCATAGAAAATATTTCCAATCCTGTGCCCCATATAGCCAGAGTTTTACCAAGTATATATGGTGTGGAGTTATTGGGGTTTAAAGATTTCCTCTGGGAAGCTGCCTCCCAGTTAAAGTTGTATTGTGTTGTCAGGAACTGAAGGAAAACATTGAGCCTGAGGAGGAGAGTGAGAGCAGTGATGAAGGGGTACGTCCCGAGCGGTACCGCAAGGCACATCACCACCACAAGCATCATCACAAGCACCACAAGGAGAAAACCAAACCAACATTCGCCACACGCTCCTGTCGCTCACGAAACAAGACAAGCTACAAGTTTGAAGACTATGATGAAATGATAAATACTGCAATACAACAAGAGGTGGAAAAGGCATGGACTGAAGGTGAGGGTAATGGCAACAAATGGTTTACTTATTGTCAGTATAGTGTGACTGGGCGGAATGCTGTTCTGGGTGCCTTCGGCATGGTGTTTCAGTAAGATAGCACTATAAAGTAGGCATCAGATCCGCGCTATTACAAGGAGGCAAATACACCAACATGCCCTGTCTCCAGCATACATACACACTTGCACGCTTACACAACATACATGGAGGCATGTCATTAAATGACTTTAGATGTTAATAGGACATTAAACAAAATAAAACCAAAACTGAAGATGAGACACCAAATACAAGATATTTTTATGCCTCTGCTATCTTTAGGAGGGAGGAAAGGGGATTGGGGTGGGGATGGGGGCTTATATTTTTTCCCATGTGTCTTCTGTACCGTCATAGCTATGTCACAATTTATTGTCCTGACTCGTAACTTCATTTCTTAGCAAATTTTCTATAGTAGTCAGGGCCATTTAAAATAAGGGATAAATAGTCTGTCTTTTAATTTTGATTTTCATAAATTAAAATCTTTGCAAATAATTTGTTTTAAGCTCATACAATCATGAAAAATTCATGTAATTTGCAGTATGTTAGCAGGTATTGCTATTAATATAACTTAGATATTTGAGATGTTTAAGTAATATATTGTTAGCTTTTTGTGTTTTACCATTCATGGCCCAGACATTTTGTTTGTGTTATCAGCCAAACCTGGCCGAAGTAGAGGCAAGGACATGTCCAACATCCTTGGGATGGAGGATACAGAGGAAGAGGAGGAGGAGGAGGGGGAGGAGGAGAAGGAGAGGGAGGATGGCAAGCCCGCTGGAGTGAACACCAAGAAGAAAAAGAAGGGTCGTAGTCTGACAGCTCTGGACAGCGGTAGTAACCCGGAGGAAGATAGTGAGGAGTACCAGATGACAGAGTATGTACATAGACATTTTATTAAAACACAAAATGATACAGTGTTGCTACTGTATACCGAGAAACTTGTACCCAGTCAAATATTAGCCTTACACAGGTTAAAACCCATACCTACCCAGTGATACTTGCTCCCTCCACATGTTATTACTATCAATAGTATGTTGTTTACTATTGTTCACCGTCATGATAAATTCACCTTCATTGGAAAGGGCAAATATCGCAAAGGTAAACTGCAGCGAAAATAACAACCTGTAATTGTACATTACCGAGAGTGAAAATTTCTTCATTAATAGTCAAATTCTATCACCAAGGAAACAGTTCTCGTAAAGAGTATTTGTTTACTCAATACATTAAAAAAACACAGAAATTGAAATAAAGACAATGTACACTTTATTGTTGTACCTCTAACATTGTGTTACTGGTGAGGCAAACATTTATGTCATATTTTTTTCTCCGAAAATTAAAAAAAACAATTGATATTTCAATCCTGGATGGTTTTATTCATAAGTACAGCCTCTCCAGCTAGTGCACACCTTTCCGGTATCACGCTTTCTCTGTCCTGGTTTCTTCTCATGTGAAATCTTGTTTCAGTGGGTCAGCATCGGAAGTCCAGGAGGAGGTGGAGGAGGATGATGATGATGAGGAGAGTGACTACAGTGTTGATGGTGAGGCATGGCGCACATCCCGGTCTCGGAGAGCGTCAACTCGACGTAGTGGCCGGCGCAAGCGACGAGGCAACAAATTTGATGACTTTGGTAAGGACTGTCAGGAGAAATAATATCCTTATTGGTCAAATACTATTTCAATAACCATAAAGGAATAACAGCTGTGTCTTGTGAAGTTGTATCCAATGGAGTTCAGAGGAAGCTTGGGTTACCAGTTCATTTAAAAGAATATTAAAGATAAACTGGTACTTTTTCGAATTCTGTGATAATTTTAACCATCCGTCCTCAACACAAAAATTTGGTGACATTTCTGAAAAGTTGACATTTGTCCGATATTTGTGATATTATTGGTGTTTTATGTATCATAAATAATTACCTTGATCATTTCAGAGATAGTTAGGTACAAAGCCACTCATTCTTTTACTTGATACATAAGAATGTGAATATGTAGTTGAAAGCTTAAGTGCACTACTCAGTCAGATAACATAGTATACTTACAACTATGTACTTTTAATATTGTAAAATAGAAAAGCACAATGCTACCAGTACCAATGTTTCTGTAGAGTCATATACTCGGTATACACAGAAATAGACATTGAGATCTAGTTGAGAGTTTGGTTTATACTTGTTTCTGAATAATACTACTTAACCCTTTCACCACTGTAGTCAATATGGACTCATTCAGATCAATGATAGGGGAGTTCAATGAAGTAACATAGGAACGAAATGTCAGACACAGCATGTCAATGGATTTGTATTCCTTCTGGATATACCTACAGGCAACTGTTCAAATTGGAAATTTTCATGATGTGGAAATGATCAGGTTTTTAAATATTTATTAACCAAAATATCTACATGTAAATATTTTTTTATAGATTATAGATATCAGAACCACTGCCAACAGGAAAATTTCCTTCAGTTTTGATCAGTTTCAAGATTAACATTGCAAACTTTTCCACATCCAGAAATTTCCACTTTCAAATTTTGTTTCTTAATATCTCTTCACTGAAAGCAAAATACATGAGTCATGTTCTGAATCTTCCTGTTTCAGTGGTTGATGAAGAATATGATAGTGATGACAGTGCCCTCTGCCGGCGGTCGACTCGGGCTAGGGCCAGGAGGAGGGTCAGCTATCGAGAGGCTCGGTCAGACGAGGAGGAGGAGGAAGAGGAAGAGGAGGAGGAAGTGGAATCAATGGATAGTGCTGATCTGTGTTCCGATGAAAGTGGCCCGACTAGTCGTAAAAAATCACGGACAGCATTCGATGAAAAGCTGAAAAAATTACAACACAAAAAGAAATCAAAACAAGAGTCGAAAAGAAAACGTGTAATACGATCTGATGATAGTAGTGAGGAAAATGACTCTGATGAGAAATCACATGCTAAATCAGAGGAGAGTGAAAAAGAGGATAGTGACAGTGAAAGTGGGGAGGAGGAGGAATCAGAATCTGGAAGTGACACAAAACCAAATACTATCAAGAAATCTCGTAAAAGACAGCATAATAAATCTAGTAGTGAGTCTGACTCATCTTCAGACAGTTCCCCCGTCAGAAGATCAAGACGCAAAGCTGCCCAAAAAGTAAATTTCACAAGTCTGTTAAATTTTGATTCTGATGATTCGGTTGCTTCTAAGAAAAATGAAAAAGAGGAAGAGAAAATGGAAGTGCATGTTAATGCCAAAAAGAAAAAGACTGTGATACATGAAGACTCCTCTGGGACGGAGGATTATGAGGAGGAGGATATCAAGGAGAAGGAGTCAGAACAAGCTGCTTCTAAAGAGAGTAAGGCTGTGCTGCCTACTGAGGGAAGTGATGTATCACAGCAGGGGCCTACTATAGGAGAAGATAACTCTGATGGAGGCATTCCGCCTGGTGTGAGGGATAGGAGAATGAGTTCAGGCAGCACAGGTGGGTCCGAGTCCCAGATGAGTGGCTCACAGTTTCCACCACCACCACCTTATGATGACTCTAGTCGTGATCATTTCTCAGATGGCTCTACAGGGGTGCCGTCACATCCTGTAAGACATCCAAAACCTCAGTACAGCAATGGTTCTCGACCTATGGGCCCCGGAAACTTTCCTGGGCAGTCACCTCCACCGTACAGCTCCCCTCCTCATGGCCAGTACATGTCGCCACCTCCGCAGGGTTATTATCCTCAACACCAAGGTTACCCTCAAATGTACCAGGGTAAACCTTTCAACCCTCAAGGTCATCCCATGCATCGGCCAATGGGTCCTATGCCAGCCCAGGGAGTGCCTCATCAAGGTCAAATGCCACCACAAAACATGCAACATCAAAGTCAGATGCCACAACAGGGAATGCCACTTCAGGGGATGCCACATCAAGGTCAGATACCACAGCAGGGAATGCCACATCAAGGTCAGATGCCACCTCAAGGTCAGATGCCACCTCAAGGTCAGATGCCACCTCAAGGCATGCCACACCAAGGTCAAATGCCACCGCAAGGCATACCACACCAAGGTCAAATGCAACCAAAGGGTATGCCACATCAAAGTCAGATGCCACCACAAAGCATGCCACACCAAGGTCAAATGCCACCACAGGGAATGCAACATCAAGGTCAAATGCCAACCCAGAGCATGCCACATCGGGGTCAAATCCGACCCCAAGGAATGCTACCCCAAGGAATGCCACCCCAAGGTCAAATGCCACCACAGGGAATGACACACAAGGGTCAAATGGCGCGGCAGGGTATGCCCCGTCAGGGTCCGATACCATCACAAGGAATGATTCCACCTCGTCAAATGCCTCCGCAAGGAATGTCACATCCCGGTCAGATGCCAACTCAGAGAATGCCACACCCAAGTCAATTGCCACAACATGGAATGCAACATCCAGGTCAAATGCAACAAGGGATGCCACGACCTCGTCAGATGTCATATTCTGGAAATGTTCCACCCCAACAAGGACCTAAGCCTCGCATGTTGAATCCAGGTGACAATCCCAATATGAGTGTTGGCCCTTATCCTAATCCTACAAGCCACCCAGTGAACATGAGTGGCCAGCAGGGACCTCCAGGAGCCATCCCACCTGGTCATTCAATGGCTTCTATAACCAGCCCACAAGGACCTCCGGTGCCATCTAATTCCCACCTAATGTCAAATCCACAAATCTCTGGCTCTGTAGTTCACCCTCAGAGCTCCCCCATGATGTCCATTCATCATGGTCCTCCCCCTTTGAGACCAAGCCTTGAAACATCTCAACAAGCTTCAAAGGCTAGTCAGCAGACACCTTCCATGGGATCTAGTCCAAGTACTGCACCTGCCCAGCCCCCTCCCTTGGTTTCAGGAACTAGTAAAAAGGCAAAAAGCAAGGGGAAAAATAAAAAGACTTTGGCTTTTCCCTCAGGACCACGTGGTTCTAGACCTATAAGTCCCCCAGTAGGCTCAAGTGCAGGGCCTATGCCTAAACCACAGGCACCTCAGATATTGGCTCATGACCCAATACCAAATACGCCAAGTTCTGAAGCATTGACTCCAGGTGACACAAAAAGACCAAAAATGTCAAGCCCAGTTCATCCAAGCCAGAGTTTAAAGGTATCTACTCAGGTCCCAGTGCCTCAGAATCAGGGTCCTCTACCGTCATCCCAAGGTCCTATATCACCTACACAGACCTCAAATGTGTCTGCTGCAGTTCCAACATCTCCCACAAACCAAGTATCAGGACCCATGCCGGAAAACCAAGGTACCTCAATTCCCCCCTTATCAGTTGATGCCCAGATCCCCCATAATCAGGGTCCTCCCACTGGCCGAAAATCACCAAACCATGGCCAACCATTGTCTGACCAAGACACAATGTCCCCAAAGCATGGCCCCCAAATGCCAGGCCAAGATCCAATGTCCTCTAATTGTGGTCCATCAATAGCAAGCCAACACCCTATGTCCCCAAACCGAGGACCTCCAATGCCAAGCCAAAGTCCAATGTCTCCGAACCGTGGACCTCCTATGCCAAGCCAAAGTCCAATGTCCCCCATCCGTGGACCTCCTATGTCAAGCCAAGGTCCTATGTCCCCAAATCGTGGCCCTCCTGTGTCAAGTCATGGACCAATACCCACAAATCAGGGTCCCCTAACATCAAGTCCTGGTCCAACGTCACCAAATCATGGTCCACCAATGTCTGCTCCTGGTTCAATGCCCCAGAACAAGGGCCCTCCATTGTTGGCCCATGGTGCGCTTCCCCAAAGCCAGGGACCCAAAATGTCGACCCCTAGTTTAATTTCTAAAAGTCAGGGACCCAAAATGTCGGCTTATGGTCCAATACCCCCTTATCAGGGTCCCCCAATGTCAGTTCATGGTCCGATTCCCCAAAATCAAGGACCCCTTATGTCTACCCAAGGTCCAATGCCCTCAAATCAGGGTCCCCCAATGTCAACACATGGTTCAGTGCCCCCAAATCAGGGTCCCCCAATGTCAACACATGGTTCATTGCCCCCAAATCAGGGTCCTTCAATGTCAACACATGGTTCAGTGCCCCCAAATCAGAGTCTCCCAATGTCAACACATGGTTCAGTGCCCCCAGATCAGCGTCCCCCAATGTCAACACATAGTTCATTGCCCCCAAATCAGGGTCCTCCAATGTCAGCACATGGTTCAGTGCCCCCAAATCAGAGTCCCCCAATGTCAACACATGGTTCAGTGCCCCCAAATCAGAGTCCCCCAATGTCAACACATGGTCCAGTGCCCCCAAATCAGGGTCCCCCATTGTCGACCCATGGTCCAGTGCCCCATAGCCAGGGTCTCTCAATGTCGGCCCATGGTACGATTCCCCCAAACCAGGAACCCCAAATGTCAACTCAAGGTTTGAAGCCCCCAAAGCAGGGAACCAAAATGTCAGCCCATGGTTCAATGCCCCAAAGCCAGGGTCCCCCAGTGTCAGCCCATGGTTCAATGCCCCAAAGCCAGGGTCCCCCAATGTCAGCCCATGGTTTAATGCCCCAAAGCCAGGGTCCCCCAATGTTAGCCCATGGCCCAATTTCTCAAACACGGGGACCCCCAATGTCATCCCATAGTCCAATGCCCCAAAACCAAGGTCCTGCGATGTCAGCCCATGCACATATGGCTGTAAACCAAGATCCATCATTACCCTCAAAACAAAGTTCTTCAATGCCACCCCCAGGTATGATGCCCCCAAGTCATGGTCCTCCAGTGCCAGCTCATGGCCAGATGCCCCTAAACCAGGGTCCACCAATGCCTGCTCATGTTCCAATGCCCCCAACCCAAGGTTCACCTATTATGAGCCCCAAAAGCCAGCGAGGACCTATGCCTCCACAGGGAGCACCCCACCCACTGTCTGGTGCTCCATTCTCTCCGGGTATGTACCCAGGTCCTCCCATGGGTAACTTTCCCCCAGGATACCCTGGTTCTTATGGCTCTCCCCCTCGCATGTCTCAGATGCAGCCACAGCAAGGCATGCATCCCATGGCCCCTAATCAGCCCCCATTTAGTTCCCCGTCAGGAACTGAACTTCCCGAACCAGCAAAACCAGCCAAAGGTAAAAAGGGAAAAGGGAAAAAAAAAAGTGGTGCTAAGGCTTCAACAAACGTACAGAGCTCTCCATCAGCAACTTTACCTTCTGGAATGCACACAGGACAGGTGGGTCCACATCAGTCTCCAATGAGGATGTATCCGTACCCACCAGGTGGGCCTGGGGGTCCAGAAGGACACATGGGAGCTCCAAGACCATATGGGCCCTATCCAGGTCAGTACTATGGGCCCCAATATGGGCCAGGTGAGAGACATCCTCATCCAGGAATGCCTCCAAGGGGGTACCCCTATGGTGCTAATGGAACTGGTCCCCCTCCCATTGGCCACACTCCAAATGGAGGCAGTGGGGGTGGTGGCTTTATGATCGACAAGCTGTTGGAGAAGGAACCAAAGAAGGGTAGTTTTACTGAGCTAGATTCCAGTGTAGGAGGTGGTAGACCTGTTCCTCCACACTGTGGCCGACCCGACTATACAAGCTACACTGCCGAACCCGAGGATGAAGATAGCATGTCTGACATTGCAGATATTGTCAAGTATGTCACTAATGACGAGTTCTTTAAGGAGAAAGAGTAACATTGACATAACAACCATGAACCTAGTGTATCTCTCGTACTACTGTACAGTGACTGTTAAGTACTGTATGATACCAACAGCAATTTCTTTCAAGAAGATTGTGTAGTGTAGGCGTCACAAATGTAGACCTACAGTTACGAAAGCTCACATGTAAGGTATATGGTTCTTCATGAGGAATTATAATTTAAGTTAACATTACAGTCATAAAGCCACCACAAACTATTACCTACTGTTAGGTAAATGATTGAGTGCTATAAGTCACATTAGTTTATTGTGAAGAAGCCAGATGTCAGGATCCTCCTCAAATATTAAAATAACATATTTGAGGAATGGTGAGGTTTCGAGGATACGAAAGTCACAGTATATGTTAGATAATTTGATGTGTAAAATTAGTTAATGACATGTTATGTTAATAAGATGTTTGATTAACTGAGTTATTTTTGTGGTGAATTACATTTTTATTGCTCACAAAATAACCAATATATTCACTGTACATGTCTGAGCTCACCCTGTGTATGCCAGGAAAATTACAGATTAAGATATAAAGTGTGTTTAGACCTGGGCCCTAGTTGTATTTAGCAGGTTTGATTTTAATGTACAACTTAAATAAATCATCTAATATCAAAATTACAACTAGTAAATAGGTTTACCAGGGTTTAAAGTGAACATTTTGTTGATTGTTTTTTCATTAATTCAAATTAATTACGATATTCGTTGTTTCTACCTTTTTTATGGAAAACCAAAATGTCCAGATTAGCAAGGTTCATTTGCCCTTTGTGATAAGGAAATGCTAACATTTGCATTGTATAAACATTTTTATATATACATATGTATAAAGTTTCCTTTTTTTTCCATTTGTCTAATAAATATTTTGCTACCTCCTTCCATTACAGGTAATTCATCTTTACGTTAGAATGGTTGACCATGTACTGTGTGCCATATATATTGATTCTCATACAAAATCCCCTCATTTCGTACTACTAGCATCAAAATGTACCGCAATATTTTTACCATACTTCATTACACTGATAAATTTCTGTGTGTTATATAAAACCTGTTACAATGATGTACTGTAATTCTCAGATTACGCTTGAGGATTCCTATTTATGTATGATTTTTATATTGTAATCGCCTATTGTGAATCTATCTTGTATACTGTTCACAATATTCATTGCTTTACACCTTAGCAAAAATCCTGTTTTAAAATTAGTTCTGAAGCGAATGAACCTTATTTTGCCATGCACAATTGCATGATTAAAAGATTCCTAGATTGTCATAATACCAAATAGTATTGATATTAATAATTACTTTTATTAATGATTCTTTCTTGTTTGGATTAAAACTAAGAATACAGTGGGACCCTATTCAATCCAAATGGTTTGAATTTCACAAAAAAAATCAAAAATATATCATCAGTGGGGATTGTTTTTGCGTGTTCTAACAAGTAATTGCCCAATGTTATTATCTGTAAGAAATAATAATGAAATAAACAGCATAATGGATATCTAATCATCAATTCAGAGAAGATGCCTTTTTGCGGGTGATACTCTCACCTATAATCTGCTACCCACTGATTTTGTGTCCCACTCCTAGCTAGAGTAGGTGTTCCAGGTCCTCTTTAGTCTTTGTTGAAAATATTCCTAAACACGGTCAAACATTTAAGCACATACTTATGGATGCATTTGTTCAGACAATGCATAACGTGTCAAGCATTTTACCATGCGCATAATTAAAAAAACCTGACAAAATATTTTTTTAGTTTTGATACAACAAGCATGAAAGATTAATGATAAATAGTATTTAGAGTCATCTGTTTTTGAGCGAGTTTAACAAACCTGTAGCATGCTTATTTTTTTATCAAGGGAGATAAACGAATCGTTTTCATTTTTATTCACACCATTCATTAGGGGCTTCCAGACGGACCGTGTGTAACTGGTGCCAAACCTCTACTATTTAACCGTAACTCATTCACCTCTGAAATTTCATAATGAACTATTCCAACCTTTGAATTGGATGATTCAAATGTGTCTTCAGGGGTGAATGAGTTAAATGTATTTCCTCCCTTGTTTTAACCATTCCATCAGGATATTTTCTCCCACTGTCTCTCCATTGAAAGCCTGTATATAGTAATATAGACTTGTACATTTTGCCGGTGATAAGCCCATGCTCAGGACTTATCCTACACATTTACCACAAGGTAGAATACATTACTGAATGATACAACAGTATTTTAAAATGTTAAGTATAAATATGATGATGCATGAGCTAATTGCATCTCAGGATAACGTTTTTAATATAATGCAGTGTTTGAAATTGTTGATACCCCTAACCAGTCCTCAATTTAAGGACGTCATTTGTTAAAATTGCTGCTTTGATTGTTAGTGATAGCTTGCCTGAGGTTGACTATATAGTTTTTATATACAATAGAACATGTTTTTTATATAGTATAGAACCTGGTATTCCAAAGTTCATTGATTAGGAATCTGGTATTCCACATCAGATTTTATGTTGTATCTTCAAAAGAAAAGTCTTGTTTACAATTTTTTTGTACATCATCATCATACATCAATAATCGATTATCACAAATGTTGTCATAGAAATAAAAAAAAATGTGAATATTATTCTTTTTATTCTACATAACGTCCATTTTCTCTTTTGTATGTTGTCATAGGTAATGTATTAGTTATCTGCCCTTTAGTGAGTCGTCTGCCCTGTGCAAGTATTGTGTTAATTTATTTATCATGAAACATAGATTACAAATTAGCATTTTCCATATTGTATATATATTGAATTCAACAGTGTTTAATGATCAATATTACTGCTTGACTGTTTTGTACATGCAGTATGTACAGAAAAGGACACAAAGCGTGTATGATACTGTATTGAACTGCTATTTGTATTGTCACGAGTGTCCTTTAGTGTTTGTTCATATTACGGCATTATTTGTGTTTTGACTCCCCCACCCGGCACCGATAATTCCATATTAAAGCTTGGGGTATATAGTCCACCTTGGTGGATTTAGAGCTGTTGTACAGTTATAATAGATCTGAACCTGACGAAAGCAAACGTCAGGTATATTTAACCAATAAAAACTCATTACACCTACCTGTAGGCAGGTCAAAGGTCATTGTATATGCTTGTAAAATAAATGGTTGTTAATTATGAAAGAGGTGAAAGTCATTATGATAGGAAACCGATTATTTGGTGTATTTGTATGGGGACGACTGAATCGATCCCTGGTAGAAGTTGGGATGGTCTCGGATTTGATAACTGATCTGCAGGCCCTTGCCCTGTTACCATTCTTATGGTATTTTACACCATTTTAGATGTGCATGTCTGTTAAAAGTCTGTAGTACCTTATATACCAGTCATATCAACTCCATCCTTGTGTTGTGTTCTGTAATCCTAAAGTTGTACAGTTCAAGTCTGTGTACGAAAGACTTAATTGATGCTTACTGTACACGTGCACTAGACTTGGGTGTACACGGGTGTGAGAGTGTGGCTAGACTAAGGGTTAGAGTGAGGGTCGTACATAGCACCTGTATGGAACAAACTCTTATGTTTAGATACGTATTGTTATTTCATAATTAAATGTACAAATACATAATGAAAGTAAATCTGAGTTTCATTTCAAATATGAAACATTGACAGTTATTTTTCGATTGTTGTAAGAAACGCTTCCCTTAGCCTGCCAATGAATAAAAAACATAATACTTATTGTGTCGCCTGTTAAGTAAATATGACACATAGGGATCACTCCATCGTCGCCGTCCGTACAATGAAGGAATGCTTTGATTTCAACACATACCTTTGCTATCAGTTACAAGCTTGAATTCGATTTTAAATAAAACCTGAAAATCCACATTGCGTAAGGGAACCTGCTGATCACTTCTGTGAAGTGCACAACACAATAAACTAATAATAATACAAAAAACTGTTCATAGTCATTGATAAACAAAAGTACGTCTGAAAAAACCCAATTTGATACGAAACACAATTTAGTTTTGGTGCCATATTTTTTCATGTTTATTGTTACTACGCAATTTTGACCACCTGTTGGAATTTTGATTGCTGCCATTCCGACATCTTCTGATAAACAAACCGCAGTTTATAACAAATAATGACAATTTTCTTATAAATGTATTTAATCGTGTAGGCGATGATTGGATAGGCATTTTTGAGCGAAAGGTACAAAGAGTAACTCCGTTTTCATCTATTTTACACCTATTTCATAAGTATTTATCGTCATACTTGTATAAATATGTTGTTTTGTTAGGATCAGGAGATGTGTAGAGTGAAAGAGATATTGGAAGTGAATGGGCCATGGAGATGTCGTACAGAGTGTGTGTGCGTGTGTGTGAGTGGGGGTGGGGGGCGGCGGAAGAAAGCCTGAATAAATGTCATACGTAAAATATGCTCTATTTTGGCCAATCATTGGAGAAATAACTTTTATCTTGTATTGGAGGTCATGGGTGTAGATGAAGCGTGCACGTACGGGTGTGCAAGTTTTATGCGAGTGTGGGCTGGCTCTGCATGCTGTATGTTAGGTCTAGGGTGAAACGTGTAGAACGACATACAATGTCACAAAGTAAGTGTTGTGTACTGTCCGATACCAGTCCAATGTCAGCTGTCTGTCAGAATGGCGTGGATACCACTACTCGTCTACGTACAAAAGATTTCAAATTAAAATAATTAGAGGTCTTCTATACACTTGTTTGTTATTCTGTGTTATTATTGATCAATGCTTGAATCATTTAGACTTAAAGTTTGTTTTTCATTGGCTAATGATAGAGTTACAATTTATTACACTATCTTGCCTAGTAAATATCGAAGAATGCGGCAAGGATAATAGACAGCTTTTTAGACTCACCAAAAACCTAATAGGACAGAAAGGTGAAATTATCCTACCAAGTTGTAATTCTGAAAAAAACTTAGCAAGCCAGTTCAGTGATTACTTTCTGAATACAATCAGCTCAATCAGGAAAAATATTGCCGAAGTGAACACCTCTGCTGACATTGACATCTCTGTCATGACTGCTGACATTGCATTTGATGGGTAACCATTGGCAAAGCTCTCGCCAACAACCCAGGACGAGTTGCGCAACATTATCATGACCTCGCAATCGAAGTCCTGTGAGCTTGATCCACTGCCTACAGACCTATTCAAGCAATGTCTTGAAGCGCTGCTACCTTTGATTACCTCAATCATGAACAAATCATTGGTTGAGTCAAAGGTTCCATGTTATGTTTGAAGAAGGCACATGGCAGACCATTGTTAAAGAAGCCTGGAATGGACAAGGAGGAGTTGAAAAACCACCGCCCAGTTCCAAATCTGCCTCTCTGTCTAAGATCTTGGAGAAGGTTGTGTCCCGGCGTTTAGAGGCTCATCTCCATGCAAACAGTCTCCATGCCAACATGCAATCGGCCTACCGCATGGGACACTACTGAGACGGACCTCCTACGTGTAAATAATGACATAGCTTCTGCATTGGATAACAAGTGCAGAGCGGTGCTTGTCATGCTGGACTTGACGTCATCGACCATGGCATACTTTATTAACGTCTGGAATACTCTTATGGAGTGACTGATACCGCACTATGCTGGATACAGTCTTACCTGAGTGAACGATGACAGTGTGTTGCCATCGGATCTTCCACCTCACATGACAAAGTACTAGATTTTGGTGTTAGGACCACGAACATATTGTATGTAATTCAAACCGATCGGAGAGATTTGTCGTCGCCATAGCCTTCGCTATCATTGCTATGCCGATGACACACACATTTACATGGTCATCAAACCACAGGAAGTTGGAATACAGTCTCAGAAAGTCTAGAAGCATGTCTGACAGATATCAGTATCTGGATGAATGCCAACATGCTTAAGCTTAATCAGGAAAAGACGGAACTAATCGTCTTTTCCCCAATGTGTCAGCAAACAATGGCTCTCCAGCTCAAGGTCGGTGCCAGAACTATTGAGACTGTTCCAGCTGTTAAAAACCTCGGGATATACTTTGATAGTTCACTGAACATGGAGAAACATGGTTCGGCTACGTTGTGGAATAGCTTACCATCTGCTATTAGAAAGTCAAATACCCTGGCCAAGTTCAAGTGGGACATCAAAACTCTCCTCTTCACGTCTGCATTTGAGAATCTTTGCAAAGACGTCATGTAAATACCACCCTTTAATTTGTTCAATTATGTGCACATTGCTTGCTTAAATGTATAAAAGTGATTGTAAGCTTTGTTTTTTGATTTCACAATTATAACCATTATTATTATCCATATGTTGTAAAGCGCTTTAGAGTAATTTTACAAATTATATAGGGCGCTATATAAATGTTGTATATTATTATCATTATTACTAATACATAGTACCATATTTCAGTTCGATGAGCAGAAACATAGATAACCATGGTTACAACAAAGTATGTGCGTGTTATGGTGGAATATAACGAGGCGGGAAAATGTTGAAAACCTTATTATTATCGGAAGGCTGCTTTTGGCATTAATTGTTTTTCCCCAGCATTACCGAATCCCAGATTTATATTCCGCCATAATATACAAACATATTTTGCTTTATATATTCTACCAAGTAAAATGTAATGAACGTATTGTTCTTGGCTACCTCAGTGTCCATTCACCTATGGTTAGCAGGGTAACGTAGATAATCTCAAAATTAAATTAGGCTGCCCTTTTGCACGCGCTAACATTTGTCACGTGATGCCTATATATGTTTACATTTTGCAACAACTGATCCAGTTGGCAGTTGTTCTATATAGTCTATTTAATCTGGATAAATTTGGGAAGGATTTATCACTTTCAGTCGCCATTCGGTCCACAGGCGATACACATGAACACTGACGTCATGCTTTATTTCCAAACGAAGTAGTGATCGTAAATCTGTCGAATGCTGACATCGTATGTTGATGAGCAATGTCGTGAATTGGTGGATTTTATTGCTTGAAATAAGCACTTGATAAAGTATGTGATATGATAATAAAATATACTGATATAGCAAAGACATCAGTTTCGTCCCTAAATATACACGAGTGTCCGTGTCATATTGATTTTATTGAACGAGTTTAATTAATTCAATATGACGTCATCCTCGATATCCAGGAGTTACGCTCACTTACGCTCTTTGCACCCCTGGAATATGTCAGAGCAAAATTGAAGGCACGGAAAAAGAGGTTTGATTGGTCTCAGGAAAAAAATGACCAATTGTTAGGCTGATACGTGTCCTTTGAAGATTACAAAGGAGCGACACTCAACTTCAAAGCCTGTCAATTTTTACCGTTACGTGACCGCGAGATTCTTTTGATGTACATCAAAGGATCGATCTAGTCTTCTTGTCTCATCAACAATGTGGTTCACACTGAGCCTTTAATACTGCTATGACATATTCCAGGGGTGTAGAGAGCGTAACCCCTGGATATCGAGGATGATATGACGTTGACACGAATGTAATATTCTATTTATAACATAACATTCATAATTTTAAACAAATGTGTGTAATCAGCTGACTCTATAATCAGTGTAATGTAGTTCCAGTTTTTGTTTTATTATGTTCTTTTTAATAATGATATAAATGCAGTTATAATAATGATAAATAATGATGATAATGCGGTTATAATAATGATAAATAATAATGATAAATAAATAATATAAATAATGATATAAATGCAGTTATAAATGCGACGACAAAATCAACATTTTGTATTCAAATCAAGACGACAGTAAACGTATCATGTGGTATACTAAATAAAGGGAGTACCTATAGTGCGTAGGAATATATGTTCCCACGGTTTGGCCAATAGAAGCACCTTAAGGTTTTATCACACATGTGTACATAGTAAAATGGGTCAGTTGTGTGATAAAAAACTTAAATTAGATTCATAAATATACTGATGTACGATACATAAATACACATTTGCATTGTTAATTTAGTATTTTCTTACCACTGTCAAAACCTGTATGTGTTTGAAACTTTTCTCTTGTATTACCATAGCTTTGATAATTATTTCTGAGAGGAAAACCATACCTTTTGGAACTTTTATGACGAAAATAATAAGGCTGAATATAAAATAAAATCAACAACAAGTTGCAGAGTGTAAAAATGCAACGTGGCTAGACCATGATTTTAACCCTGGCCCTACGGTAATTTAGCCCGAGTTTTTTCTCTGGCCCCGACACCAGACTTGGACTTTTTGACAGATAGATGTCTAGTACATATATCTGTCAAAATGTCCAAATCTGGTGTCACGGCCAGAGAAAACTCGGACTAACGGTAAGTATATGGTCTCCCCAACCAACTGAGTTATCTAGTCATCGGTATAGCTCGGATCTACACACAAAAAAGGTTGTACAAAAAATAGTTTAACGGGATTGTATTCTCCAGTGTTTTGCCTGCATTGGTAATGAACTTAATTCCTTATGATCCTAGAACAAACTAGTGATTCTAGTAGCAATGACTTATCACGTATTAATAGCATGTATCACGACACTTTATAACACACAGTGAATTCTCTTAATGTTTTATTTCTTTACAGAGGATGTTTAATCGACAAGTCAATGGTCTGAATTACTAAGTTATGACATTGGTTTAATGTATTTCGTTATGTCCACGTTCTGACAAACGGTACTTACTGTATCAATCAACGGTTTAATGTGGACAAAATCAATGTGTTTTTCACGCTCTGGCTATTTGTATTTGTTTTCGAATTACAGCTGAAAATCGATTTTACAAAAATTAGTAATGTTTTACTATTGCATTAAGCTAATGGATCTAAATTAGAATTTTAATAACTTTGTTACTGGCTTGGTATATTGATTAAAGAGTTGAACAATGAGTTTGTGAAATAGTTATAAATCGATAATATAACTAATGTGATTTTCTCGTTTAAACTAAACCGTCACTGACCAATAAAACCTCAGGCGGAAAATACAACGCTGTTCATCGATCTACAATTGTAATTCATTATCTTATGAATAACATATACACATGTTATACTTCAGCACTGTTTTAATGCTCTTTTGCAGTGTACATTTTCATGTGTTTAAAATATCATCACGAATAGATATTGTTTCACTATTTTTCAGTTTGAGATAATTCCTGATAACTTTCCCCTGGAAATATGCTTACCTCCCCTTACTGAACATGACTTGATTTCGATTTTGTAAGCAGGTAAATAGCATATACTACAGTCTAAAAGAGAGGTTGGGGAAAATTCTACCTACAGATTGTGTGGAAAAACACGTATTATTTGTCATATCAGTAAAGTTGGCAATTCCTTAAATTCTACAGATTTCAAGAAAATACTTAATACCTGTTACTCCTGTTGCGATCTGTGTAACCGTCTATGGCGAGGTAGGACTCTACGTCAGTTGCCGTTTTAACTGCTCTCTTGGTCGCTGTGGATGTTGGGTCGACAGTCTCTCCCATCGACAACCTTTCTTTCCCAAATCCTTACGACCGAGGGATCTCCTCACCACACCCAAAGGTGGATTCGTCCCCTGTCACCTTCCTTAGCTTACTAACTCCCCTCCCCACACCAAAGGTGGATTCGTCCCCTGTCTCCTTCCTTACCTTACTCACTACCCTCACCACACCAAAGGTGGATTCGTCCCCTGTCACCTTCCTTAGCTTACTAACTACCCTCACCACACCAAAGGTGGATTCGTCCCCTGTCACCTTCCTTACCTTA